TTCGTTCTGCCCCCCTCCCCCTCTTTTCTTCAATCCCTTCCCCCTTCGCTCACCCCTCCTTCTTCTTCAGTCCCTTCCCTCTTCATTCTGATCCCCCTGGCCCTTCTCCTCGTCTTCTTCACGAATAGTAAAATATAATCTCAAGTAGTGGAATTCTCAGTTTGTAAACAAGAAGCTATAAAGACGAGTTTAAGACAAAGGATTTAAGAAGTGTAAAATCTAAACAGAAAGGTTTATTGACATAGCTGATTTGAAAAACGATGCACCCAAAAAAAAAAAATTGACGAACTTTTTCCACTACTGCAAAGCTGCATTTTTCTATTGAAAAATCACTCTTGGTTAATTGGTGAATAAAACTTAAAACAAGCGAAGAATCTCAATCTCAATCTCAATCTCAATTCGCTTGAGTATAAACTCAAGCGAAGAAGTAGTGGTACTCATGGTGGAGAAGCCATGGAAGGTGAGTTATTATTTTAAGAAGGTTGAGTGGGTGGGTTTGAAGAAAGGAGGGGTTTTCTTTAATTTTAATTTTTTGCTTATTTTATTTTATTTTATTTTTTGTTTAAGAAATTAAAATTTTGTTAAATAATAGTATTATTTTGGCATAGAATCTGATGTGGATGCTGATTTGTCATCCACGTCAGGCAAGTGAGTATCACGCGATTCCGGAGGGTTTAAAAGTCTTGTTTTGATTAAGTTGAAGTGTCTAGAAGAAACTTTATGGAGTGTAGGGACCGGGATGACAAACCGGAACAAGTACAAGTGTCTCCCAGGCTATTCTGCCTATAATATTTAATAGAATATGAAGTGCACCATATTTATTAACCTTAAATAATGGGTTGTATGATCACTTTCTTATCAAGTGTTACTGAAATGCGTCAATCTATTTGTTCTCCAATATTCATATATCAATCTATTAAATTTTTATATCTTTTTCGAATTTGAAGTGCTTATTATTATTTAGGTGTCGTATTAATTTTTATGTTTAATTATTAAATTCGATTAACCTTAAAAGTGTACATCAACAAAAGATATATTGTTAGATGACTAAAATGATAACTATTTATATCTTGGGCTATCAATGTAGCATACAAATTCAAATGTGGAGGAGTTTCATTAGGCCAAAGTTGGGCCAATGTACTCGGAGACGTATTCTAGCCACCGAATTTATTAACATTTTGGGAAAAGTAGTTGTTGGGTACCAATCAGCCCGGCCCAATAACTTGGCTCATTCATTAACCAAAGTAAACTCAACCCAAAGTCTACAAAAGATTGTGGAGGATCCACTTTCAATAAAACGAGTCGGGCCTGTAACGACCCGACTGGTCGTTTCGAGCTCTAGCGCGTCGTTCAGCAGTTTGAGGCCATGGACAATGTTATTTTAGGTATTATGACTTGTACGCATGGTCGGAATTGAATTCCGAGAAGTTCGGAGTTGATTTGGAAAGAGAATTCTCATTTCGGAAGTTTTAAGTTGAAAGAATCGACTAAGATTGGATTTTTGAGTAAACAACCTTGAAATCGGGATTCGAAGGTTCCAATAGGTTCGTATGATGATTTCGGACTTGGGCGTATGTCCGGATCAGGTTATGGAAGACCCGGGAACGTTTCGGCACCTAATGTAGAAGTTAGCATTTTGGAGGAATTTCATAAGTTTGGGGTGGAAGTGCATTTCAGTGTTATCAATGTTTGTTTGGGATTCTGAGTCTGGGAATAGCTCCGTATGGTGACTCTGGCCTTGGGAGAACGATCGGAAGTGAATTCGGAGGTCCGTGTGTGATTTTGGAGTCATTCGACTAAAGATATGAATTTGAAGGTTTTTGAGAAGTTTGACCGGGAGAGAACTTTTTGATATCGGGGTCGGATTCCGATTCCGGAAGTTGGAGTATGTCCGTAAGGTCGAATATGACTTGTGTGCAAAATTTGAGGTCAATCGGGGGCAATTTGATAGGTTCCAACATCAAATGTTGAAGTTTGAATTTCTCAAGTTCATCAAGTTTGATTTGGGGTGTGATTCCTGATTTTAGCGTTGTTTAGTATGATTTGAGGCCTCGAGCAAGTCCGCAATGTGTTTCGGGACTGGTTGGTATGATTGGTTGGGGTCCCGGGGGCCTCGGGTGGATTCCGGGTGGTTAACGGATCGAATTAGAATTTGGAAGAAGAACTGAAGTTGCTGGTTGCTGGTGTAACCGGACCTGCGAGACTTGGGCTGCAGGTGCGGAGCCGCAGAAGCGGGCCTTGTGTCGCAGAAGCGGAAAATGGCTGGGCTTGGCTGAGGGCGCAGGTGCGGCGTATCTTCCGCAGAAGCGGACTGCAAAAGCGGTCAAGGCTCCGCAGAAGCGGACTTGAGCAAGTTGGCTGAGACCGCACCTGCGATGGAAATTTCCGCAGGTGCGGAGCCGCAGGTGCAGCTGGCGCACCGCAAGTGCGGAAATGCTGGAGGCAGTGTGTTCTTTTAAAAATCGGGAGATGGTCATTTTTCTCCCATTTTCAGTTGGTGTGGGCGATTGGGAGAGCTTCTAGTGGTGTTTTTCATCATCAAATACAAGGTAAGCTAACCCCACCTATCTTGAGTTAAATACATTGATTATGTACGGGTTTTAACATGTAAATTGATTGAAATTTGGGGGTTTGAGGAAAACCTAGAAAATTTAGTATTCTTGGATTTTGACCACGATTTTGGTCATGAAATTAAGAGCAAATTATATATTTGAGTTCGTGAGGTTATGGGGTAAACTTTATCTTCAAAAAATTTCAGAATTCGGTCACGTGGGCCCGAGAGCGATTTTGTCAACTTTTCGATCGGGGTTAAGAATTGTTATAAATTGGATTAATATGAGTAGTTGATCGTATATTAATGGATTTGCGTAAGAATAGGCTAGCTTAGGAGCATTGTGCATCGAATTGAGTCTTCGGAAAGGCGTGGAAGGCCGGTTATGGAACTTCGGAGCGAGGTGAGTTTCCTTTCTAACCTTGTAAGAGGAAATTGTCCCCATAGGATAGTTAATTGAACATATGTGCTGTTATTTATGGGGGCTACGTACGCACGAGGTGACGACAGTCCGTGCTTAGCTGCTATTATGCCTATGTCCGGGTAGTCTAGGATCCAAAAACATGCTTACTTTTAATAATTGTAACTATATTGATGGTTTAATTTGCTTAAGTCATATCGAAGTGGCAAATAATTTTTCTAAAAGAGTTAAACTTCATTTTTCTTTACTAGTAAAAGAGAAATGTACACCTCCTTGAACAATTGTTTCCTAGATGAAGTCTTGATTGACTGTTTGAATATGTGTTTCTATGTGTACCTGCGTCGCATGTATGATTCGCGAGCAGGGTGATTGTTTATTTGTGTTTGACCACGTCGCATGTATGATTCGCGAGCGGGGTAATAGATGCATCTATGGTTCGCGCCATTCAACCCTCTAGCAGTGCACATTTTTAATATTGTTGGATCGGGCCGTACGACCTCGGTATGAGTTGCGCATGCTTGTATTGCTTGCCTTGAAATTCATTGAAGTTCATATTGTCACTCCTTGACTTGAGAATAAATGTTTTATTGATGAAAACGAAATTTTGAAATTTCCCTTTGAATAAAGGAATTGATTACTTGTTTCATTCTATTGAATTACGACCATGCTTTATAAATATCCTGGATTTTATTAAACTAATTGTGTATCATCATCGGATCACTAATAAGTATCGAAGTTGACCTCTCGTCTCTACTTCTTCGAGATTAGGCGGGATACTTACTGAGTACACTTTTCGTACTCATGCTACACTTGCTGTGCATTTTTGTTGCACAGGCAGATGCATCTCTAGCGGCCTAGTGGGCATAGCAGCATGGTTGATACGGAGACTTAGGTGAGCTGTACTTCTCGAGATGACCCGCAGCCAGCAGAGTCCCCTTCAGATTTCCATATTTACTTTCTTTCCTATTTGTATTCCGGGCAGTTGTTGTATTGAATTGTATCCTAGAGATAGCTCATGCACTTGTGATACCGAGTTATGGGATGGTTATGGTTATAAGATTGTTAAATATTAAATTTGCTAAAGACTTCATCTTATTTCAGTGAAATTTCATTAATTACTGTTTAATGTTTAAAAGGAATGATTTTAATAAGTCCTAAAACGAGAACTTATTTAAATTTCTTGGTGTTGGCTTGCCTAACAGCGTGTCCGGCGCCATCACGACCCTTAGTGGATTTTGGGTCGTGACAACATGGTATCAGAGCACTAGGTTTCCTTAGGTCTCACGAGTCATGAGCAAGTCTAGAAGAGTCTCGCAGATTGGTACGGAGACGTCTGTACTTATCTTCGGGAGTCTACAGGGTTGTTAGGAGTACTTCCCTTCTTGATTCCTCATCGTGCGGTTTGATTCCTTTGAGGATTATGCCTTTATTTCCTTCCTATTCAATCTTATGCGACGTGGAGCGTTTATTATAAATCAGGAATTGAGAAATTTTAAAGGTACTACAGAGGTGGTATGGGATGCTTCTCCCGGTATAGTTGATTTGACTATTGTCGTCGCCTTGTGGAAAGGTATTCTATTGTTCAGCTTAGTAGTCATACTTCTGAGAGCTCTGAGGCTAGGCACAAGTTGCCATGATGCTTATGAATGGTTGTCGCGCGATATTGATGTGACGGTAGGGTGGTTGCCTACGTGTAGGGGCAGTGAATGACTTGAGGGGAGGTTTACTCAGTACATGATTTAGAGATTCGGTATTTTATTCCTAGCAGGGGAAGAGCAATCGGGCTAAGAATGTTTAGCTTTGGGTTGATAGAGTAACGAGGCTTGGTATTTGCGAGCGTGGTGGAATTTTCATCTGTGATGAGGTGTCGTTGTCCTTGTTGAAACTACTAAGTTCGTCGGTGTTAAGACCTTCAATAATTCGCCCATGGGGTAGGATATTGTAAGATAGTATTGGAGAAGCGGCTATCAGAGATCGCGGGGTACGGTGGTTCAAGATTGAATGTGTATTTCTAATGCTGACGGCTCGAGAATGATGATCTTCGGAAAGGTTTAAAAGTTTGTCGCGGTCTGTTGGCTCAAGTGCTACTGAAATAGATTTTGATCTAAGGCATTAGCTGAGCAGCAAAGGGTGAGGAAGGATGCGTGGGGAGTGTCACGCGGTGGTTAAACTTCTAGAAGGCCAGGTGTAAGAAGTGGAGATCGAGTAGTTTCCTTAAAGAAGGGAGTCTGCCCAAAGTGGGAGAGTGGCAGAGTAGTATGTGAATTCAGTGGCTGGGTCTACAGACTTAATTTGAAATATGGCTATTACTCAGCCGGGGATTTGATATGACGGAAAGAGCTGCTTGATATGAAGGAGGATACAACATAATTTTGAATTGGAAGATATTTCGCACATTTAGTTGATGTCCATGAGGAGTGAATGGACTTGTGCAACTGGTGAATGAGCACGGGCTCAGGTGGTTCTCTCCTATGAGCAGGTCAGTGGTCGCATGGTTGGTGAAGCTCCTGCGAAGGATTCTACCGTCTATCCGGTAAGAGGCCGAATATGTGAATGTTGCTAGAGATTCAGAGTGCTCATGAAATGCTAACAGAAGGATTTCGAGGAATCTGGCTGTTTAATTGCCCAAGGTTATGTCAATAAGAGATAAAGAATCTTGGTGGGTTCCAAAGTTGTGTAATAGTGGCTTCAAGCTAAGTGGGAGAGTCCCACTACCTACGGTTGGATTGCATGGTAGTCTATTTATGAGATTTCCGGTTATTAGTATATTGATGGGTTATTTAAGCTAACTGAAAAAGACATAAGAGGTAATTTGAGCAAAGGAAGTGTCAAGGGTGTGCTAGGGCTGTCCTCATTGGCTCACATTCAGATTTGGGGAAGGATTCAGGATTTATGCCTTGTGTAGATGTAGGTTTCAAGGAAAGTGATTCGGTCGAGTGCTTCGTCGAGAGGGTATTCATGGAGTTGAGTATATTCGGGACCAATTCAGAGTGGGTGGCTCTCAACAACGGTCCTAGTAGATTTAAAGGTAAAAAATGCGATGCCTAATGATTCAAGCCCGCGGTATGTTTAAGGATCGAGTTTGTGAAGCAGCTTACGGTAAGGGGCAGAATGCCCTATGATGTTTTGACTTGCAGTGTAGCACAGGAAGGAAAGGGAGAGAAGGACTTCAGATTCGTAAAGGAAGTACCAGAATGGATGTACCAGTCGAGATGCGAATATGTGCACAAGGAAGGTATGAGATGGTTTGTGGGATTTGAGACAACATGGTCTCGTGTTACAAGGCCACTCGGGTTGAGTGCATTATGTGTTGAATGAAGTTATTATTATTCTAAGGCAATTAAGGATAGATTGGAAGAGGTTGGATTGGTTAGCCATGGTTGAGTTGGCATACCGGTGGCAGTGATCAGTTCTTTCAGCGTGATTTAAGTTATGCAAGTGATTTGTGATGGTACCTGTGAGGCTTGACGACCGTCGAAATTGAATCTATTCGGAAGTATTCCAGTATTATGGCCTGCTATGTGTAGCCGGATCCCGGAAAGGGCTATGGTGGTTTAGGCCACTATTTGAAGAATTGCATCTTCTACGGTTGTGAGAATTCGCTCGTGTGTTGCTACGGTGCTCTTGGAATGAGTTAAGTAAAAAGTTTCCCATATGAGAAAGTGTTTACCATGTTTGGGGTTCAGGAGTCGTGATGAAATTCTTGTACTGTCGCATGCTGGCTTGTTAGGTGCAGCGAGCGGTAAAAAATTTGAAGGTAAGGATCAAGGTTGCGGTTTGGTGTTCGCAAGGACGTCACGAGCTCGGATGATCATGAAAGGGATTTGAATGTTTAGAGTAAGCTGGCATTTGTCTTCAGCGTCGCCTGAGATCCGTGATTTGTGAAAGAGGCTGGTTATGGATTCTTGATCGTTTTTCAGTGTTAGTGCGGCCGGTGGCATAGATATGCAGACTTGTTATCTTTTACGGAAGGTCGTGGGAGCGTGTTCCACGGGAAGGTTGTATAAGTGTTCCACGTAGTGACTTGATTGATTGAAGAATGAAACAAAGTATGAAGATTGTGGTGATATCGTTAATTTGAGAATTTATGCCTGGAGGGCACTCAGTTTATTGGGTCGTGGACCATGGAGGATTTCTTCGGTTATGATGGTTATTCTTGTGTGTTATGGGAAGGAGGGGTTATTATGGACCCAAAAAGGATTATTAGCCTAGTTCGGTATGATCAGAATCGGCTTGAGGTCTGCGGATGGATTTAAATATGAATATGGGCCCTATATCAGGCCGAATGTGTTCATTTCAGCATAGCTCTCCTTATGGAGGAGTATTCGGACGTTAGATGTTAATTCGTCGTTGGCTATCTCATATAATGCTATCTTGTGCCGTGTGAATTGCGAAACGGCTTGGTAATTTCTTATGTGTTGAGGTTCCGCGTAGCGATGGTGTTATGTGAGCATTATGGCTCTTTAGTTTCAGAACATATATCGTACCTCAGTTGTGCTTGAGTCTGTTAGCTTATGGTGCTATGTGTCCCCTCAGGGATGGTATTATGCACTTAGCGTGGCTGTGACCCATATTCGGTATTTTGTTGTAATGAGCAATTCAGCTCGGTGTGAAATCTCCTTATGTGAATTTTATGTGTGGATCGGGTGGTACGCCGCCATGGGTATGTTGTTTGGATCGGGTTGCACGCCGCAATAGTATGATGTGGAGTGCAGTTTTCTGTATTCTAATTTTTTGTGTGTTTTGTTTTCCATTTTTTGAGGAAAGTCCATGTTAGCAGCGTGAGTTGAGTAGTCCCTTCTAGAGTTCGGTTTCCTTATGTATCATGTTCGAATTGGTAGCCTATTGGTACATTGTGGCATCATATGAGACTTTTGGTCATGTCTGGGGGGCTTGTTGCCTGAACAGTTTGTACTGGGTGAGACAAGGTTATTGGATCTAGGATCAGTTTGATCGGATTGTATGAAGTATATTAAAGAGCAAAGATCATTATTTGGTTCAGAATAAGGTAATGTACTGTTCAGGAGTGTAGCCTCAATGATTGTTGACCCAGCAGTTGGTTATGAATCTCTACATGTCTCTTCCGTCGTGGTAGTATTGAAAGAGTTAGAACAAGACTTAAATGTATCATGAGGTGCATTGTGAGCATCAGATTGGGGGAAAGTCGGCCATTGTGGTCAGGGGATGTTATTAAGGTCCTGTGAATGACGTGGTGCATAGTGTGAATTCAGCAAAGGTATGTAATCTTGTATCGGTGCATCATGTGGTGATTGATACGGTGTTCATATGTTGAAAGCAGGTCTGGCTGAGAATTTCAAATGTTGAAACTGAGCTCTAAGGCTCATTTGTTTGAATAAAAGAGAATATCTTCGGATTTGCTTGACCTAGCGTGATCAACTAAGTTGTGGTAGCACGGGTAGGTGCACAAGGTGTTTAACTGTGATTTCAGACAACTCCAGCGCAGTTCTTAGCACATTTGAACGTATGTTTAAGTGGGAGAGAATGTAACGACCCGACCGGTCGTTTTGAGCTCTAGTTCGTTTAGCAGTTTGAGGCCATGGGCAGCTTCATTTCAGGTATTATGACTTGTACGCATGGTCGGAATTGAATTCTAGGAAGTTCGGAGTTGATTTGGAAAGAGAATTCTCATTTCGGAAGCTTTAAGTTGAAAGAGTCAACTAAGATTGGATTTTTGAGTAAACAACCTCAGAATCGGGATTCCAAAGTTCTAACAGGTTCATATGATGATTTCGGACTTGGGCGTATGTCCGGATCGGGTTTTGGAAGACACGGGAACGTTTCGGCACCTAATGTGGAAGTTAGCATTTTGGAGGAATTTTATAAGTTTGGGGTGGAAGTGCAATTCAGTGTTATCAATGTCCGTTTGGGATTCCGAGTTTGGGAATATCTCCATATGGTGATTCTGGCATTGGGAGCTCGATCGGAAGTGAATTCGGAGGTCCGTGGGTCATTTTGGAGTCATTTGGCTAAAGATAGGAATTTGAAGGTTTTTGAGAAGTTTGACCGGGAGTGGACTTTTTGATATCGGGGTCGGATTCCGATTCCGGAAGTTGGAGTAGGTCTGTAAGGTCGAATATGACTTATGTGCAAAATTTGAGGTCAATCGGAGGCGATTTGATAGGTTCCGGCATTGAATGTTGAAGTTTGAATTTCTCAAGTTCATAAAGTTTGATTTGGGGTGTGATTCATGATTTTAGCGTTGTTTAGTATGATTTGAGGCCTCGAGCAAGTTCGCAATGTGTTTTGGACTGGTTGGTATGATTGGTTGGGGCCCCGGGGGACCTCGGGTGGATTCCGGGTGGTTAACGGATCGAATTGGAATTTGGAGGAAGAATTGAAGTTGCTCGTGTAACCGCACCTGCGAGACTTGGGCCGTAAGTGTGGAGCCGCAGAAGCGGCCCTAGTGTCACATAAGCGGAGAATGGCTGGGCTTGGCTGAGGGCGCAGGTGCGGCGTATCTTCTGCAGAAGCGGACCGTAGAAGCGGACTTGAGCGAGTTGGCTGAGACCGCACCTGCGATGGAAATTTCCGCAGGAAATGCTGGAGGCAGTGTGTTCTTTTAAAAATCGGGAGATGGTTATTTTTCTCCCATTTTTAGTTGGTGTGGGCGATTTGGACAGCTTCAAGTGGGGGTTTTCATCATCAACAACAAGGTAAGCTAACCCCACCTCTCTTGAGTAAAATACATTGATTATATATGGGTTTTAACATGTAAATCGATTGAAATTTGGGGGTTTGAGGAAAACCTAGAAAATTTAGTATTCTTGGATTTTGACCATGATTTTGGTCATGAAAGTAAGAGGAAATTATATATTTGAGTTCGTGAGGTTATGGGTATACTTTATCTTCAAAAAATTTCGGAATTCTGGCACGTGGGCTCGAGGGCGATTTTGTCAACTTTTCGATCGGGGTTAGGATTTGTTATAAATTGGATTAATATGACTAGTTGATCGTATATTAATGGATTTGCGTAACTATAGGCTAGCTTTGGAGCGTTGTGCATCGAATTGAGTCTTCGGAAAGGCGTGGAAGACCGGTTATGGAACTTCGAAGCGAGGTGAGTCTCCTTGCTAACCTTGTAAGAGGGAATTGTCCCCATAGGTGAGTTGATTGAACATATGTGCTATTATTTGTAGGGGCTACGTATGCACGAGGTGACGAGAGTCCGTGCGTAGCTGCTATTATGCCTATGTCCGAGTCTAGGACCCAAAAGCATGCTTAATTTTAATAATTGTAACTATATTGATGGTTTAATTTGCTTAAATCATATCGAAGTGGCAAATGATTTTTCTAAAAGAGTTAAACTTCATTTTTCTTGACTTGTAAAAGAGAAATGTACACCTCCTTGAACAATTGTTTCCTAGATGAAGTCTTGATTGACTATTTGAATATGTGTTTCTATGTGTACCTGCGTCACATGTATGATTCGCGAGCAGGGTGATTGTTTATTTGTGTTTGACCGCGTCGAATCTATGATTCGTGAGCGGGGTAATAGATGCATCTATGGTTCGCGCCATTCGACCCTCTGGCAGTGCACATTTTAAATATTGTTGGATCGGGCTGTACGACCTCGACATGAGTTGCGCATGCTTCTATTGCTTGCCTTAAAATTCATTGAAGTTGATATTGTCACTCCCTGACTTGAGAATAAATGTATAATTGATGAAAATAAAATTTTGAAATTTCCCTTTGAATAAAGGAATTGATTGCTTGTTTCATTCTGTTGAATTACGATCATGCTTTATAAAGATCCTGGATTTTATTATATTAATTGTGTATCATCATCGGACAACTAGTAAGTGTCAAAGTCGACCTCTCGTCTCTACTTTTTCGATATTAGGCGGGATACTTACTTAGTACTCGTTGTTTTCGTACTCATGCTACACTTGCTGTGCATTTTTGTTGCACAGGCACATGCATCTCTAGCGGCCTAGTGGGTGTAGTAGCATGGTTGATACTGAGACTTAGGTGAGCTGTACTTCTCGAGACGACCCGCAACCAGCAGAGTCTCCTTCAGATATCCATACTTACTTTCTGTCCTATTTGTATTTCGGGCAGTTGTTGTATTGAATTGTATCCTAGAGATAGCTCATGCACTTGTGACACCGGGTTCTGGGATGGTTATGGTTATGAGATTGTTCAATATTAAATTTGCTAAAGACTTCATCTTATTTCAGTGAAATTTCATTAATTACTGTTTAATGTATAAACGGAATGATTTCAATAAGTCCTAAAACGAGAATTTAATTAAATTTCTTGGTGTTGGCTTGCCTGACAGCGTGTCTGGCGCCATCACGACCCTTAGTGGATTTTGGGTCGTGACAGGGCTAGTTGAAGATCATTGGATTGCTAACAATAGTTGCAAAATGGAGTCATTTTCATTCCATATAACTGCCTCCAAATTGGGCCATTTGCTATCAAGAACATAAATTCAAGGCCCATTTGAATCGCCATGTGCTATTATTTGGAAGTCTATTTCTAAAATTAGAGATGGCCTGAGCCCAAAGTTGTGACCATTTGTAAAAAGAGTGAAGAAAAGAATGAAGGCCTTGTAGGAAACTATCAAGTCATTGGTGTGGTAAAGGTTGATCAATTAATTAGAGAAGCTAATCCTAGTGAATTAGCAAGGTTGATTAAAAATGAGATCATCAACGAGCGATTAAAGATCGATGAAGCCATCGAGAAAGATCATGGAGTATCAGATGTGGATGTTTACGGAGCAAATTTGACTTTCGTGAACGTGGAAGGTGCTGATCTCTATGGATTCGACTGGAACGGACACAAACCGACAAATGTAAGTTACCTAATCGATGGAGTTGGCGATGCAGGGACTTTCGTGGTGCTTCCGGCTGGGACAAATGATTCTAACAAGGATGGTGATGATGGAAGGATTGTGACCATGACTTTGTCAGAGGATGAGATAATGAAGTTGAAACTTGAGCTAAACAAAGAATGGTCTATTGCTTGAAGTTAGATGTATTTGTTTCATTCTTTTCAATTATTTAATTTGGTGTGGGGTCCCAAGACTATATATATAATAACTGCTCTATATAATGTTATTTAGAGATTAACCGATATTTATTTTCTCCTGAAATTTTAAACTAAAAATCGTAACTTCAGGAAAATTCAGGATATTTTTGTCCTGTAAAACTGAAATTCATGACACACTGGCTAATTTTTAAATAGTAGCCTTTAGAGTGGCTACCCGGTGTCTTTTATTCTCTATGTATATGTGTGTAACGACCCGGCCGGTCGTTTTATAAGTTACCGCTCCGTTTCCCCCATTTCTGCTTCTTATTGCTTTGTTCATTGGTTCTATGTGTGATCGGGTTGGTTGGCTCGGGTTCGGAAAGGTTTTGGTAAGGTTTGAGACACTTAGTCTCTTTTTAGAAAGCTTAAGTTGGAAAAGTCAACCGGACGTTGACTTATGTGTTAGAGGGATCGGATGTGAATTCTGATGGTTCGGATAGCTTGGGAGGTGATTTGTGACTTAGGAGCGTGATCGGAATGTGTTTTGGAGGTCCGTAGTAGATTTAGGCTTGAATTGGCGAAAATTGGATTTTGGCATTTTCCGGTGTATAAGTGAGATTCTATATAGGGGTCGGAATGGAATTCCGGAAGTTGCAGTAGCTCTGTTGTCTCATTTGGGATATTCGTACAAAATTTCAGGTCATTCGAACGTGGTTTAGTATACTTTTTGATCAAAAGCGGAATTCGGAAGATTTTAGAATCTTAGGCTTGAATTCGATGTGATTTGGTCGATTCGATGTTGGTTGAGGTGTTCCGAAGATTCGTATAAGTTTGGATGGTGGTATGTGATGTGTTTGTGCTTTTGGTTAAGGTCTCGGGGGCCTCAGGGTGATTTCGGATGGTTGGCGGAAAGATTTGGAGTTGGTTGTGACAGTTGAAGTTTCCCATTGCTGTCATAACCGCACCTGCGGCTAGGGGACCGCAGGTTCGGTCTTGCAGAAGCGAGATTGTGGTCGCAGAAGTGGAGAGGGGCTAGGAGAGTTGGAACCGTAGAAGCGGTCAAGGAGCTGCACCTGCGATGGCGCAGGTGCGTATTATGCATCGTAGATGCGGAGTTGGACGACTTAAGTGAGGACTGCAGATGCGGTTCGTGGACCGCAAAAGCAGCATCGCAGGAGCGGAATTTTGGCCACATATGCGAAATGTCTGGGGCACAAGATATAAGTTATTTCCTTCGCGATTTTTGAGCTATTCCACCATTTCTAAGTCGGTTCTTGGAGCTTTTTGGGCGATTTGAAGAAGGATTTCGAGAGCAATTCATTGAGGTAAGGATTTTGGACCTAAAACTCGTTTCTATCGTATTAATTCACGGTTTAGAGCTATAATTAATGGAATTTAAGGGTTAAAAGTTGGGGAAACTAGGGCTTGGTTTTGGAGACCTAGACTTGTGGATTTGAGGGGCGATTTGTAGTCGGATTTTGGAACTTTTGATATGTATGAACTCGTGGGGAGATAAGGAATCCAATGATGTAAAATTTATCGAATTCCGAGACGTGGGCCCGGGGGTCGGGTTTGGTTAATTTCGGGAATTGCATTGTTTTTCGATTGTTTTCGAGTGGGCTTTGTCCCTTTAGCATATTTTGATGGTTACGTTCTGATTTTGGATAGATTTGGAGCACCCGAAGGCCGATTCGAGGGGCAAAGGCATCGCGAGCTAGAGTTTGGGCCGGATTGAGGTGAGTAATGATTTTAAATGTTGTTCTGAGGGTATGAAACCCCGGATTACACAGCGTTAGGCTATGTTGAGGTGACGCATACGCTAGATGGCGAGCGTGGGGTTGTGCACCGTCGGGGATTATGACTTGGTCCATCCCGAATGACTGTTTTATTGCGTATTTTTGATTGCAAATTGTTTGATATTATCATGTTTTGGGCTAAATGCTATATTTGGGCTTCGTGCCAACTATTTGGACCCTTAGGGGATTTTTACTACCATTTCCTCACTGTTTTGACTTTACCATTGTACTCAGTCATGCTATATTCTACTATTTTCATAACTCAGCCATGTTTACTCTGTTTTAACATCTTAAATTATATTTTAAAAGATATTTTGAGCTGAGCATCATGTTTTGGTGTTGCCTGAGTGGCTTATGAGATTTTGATTGAGTAAGGCCGAGGGCCTGTGTTGTGAGGATACTTTGGGTCAGGCTGCACGCCGCAGCAGTGATACACTGATTATGATTATGAGGCCGAGGGCCTGAGATTTGTACGCCACGAGATGGCTTGTTGATATGAGATCGAGAGCCTATGTGATTATGCCACGAGATGGCTTGATATTGCGCTTGGGCCGTAAAGGGCCCCTCGCAGAGTCTGTACACCCCTAGTGAGCGCGGGTACCCATTGTGATATGAGATACAGCCCGAGGGGCTGGTATTGTTCTGTGTTATTGCCCGAGGGGCTGGTTCTCTTGTTATTGTGCCCGAGGGGCGGGTTTTTATGTGTTTATCTTTTCTAGTTATTCTTTGTTCTATTTGCTTAACTGCTTAAAAGGTGCTTTATGAGATTACACTATTTAATTGTATTTTACTAATTTTTTCTTTGCCTCTTATTAGCGTATTGTTGTGTTTAACGTGATTTCTTGTCGCTCAATCTTCATTTATTGTTATTACTCACTGAGTTGGAGTACTCACTTTACTCCCTGCACCCCTGTGTGCAGATTCGGGCGCAACAGGTCCTGCTTGTGAGGGTTGAGAGCTTCTAGAAGACTTCGGAGATTCACTAGGTAACTGTTCGGCGTTTTCGCAGCCCTGTGCTTCTCCCTCTATCTTATTTTCTCCTGTTCTAGTTATGTAATAGTGGCGTAGACTCTTTCAGACTTGTAGTTTTTATGATAGATGCTCATGACTGGTGACACCCTGATGTCGGGCTGTGCTTAGTTGTTTTCCGCGAATTGTGCTATTCACTTTTATTTTGGATTATTATTATTATTATTATGTTAAAGACTTAAATTGTGTTGTTTTTGTGGTTTAAAAATGAATTGTGTTGTGTCGGATGGCCTTGTCTTCACGAGAGGCGCCATCACGATCGGGTCCGGGTTTAGGGTCGTGACAAGTTGGTATCAGAGCCTTGGTTACATAGGTCTCACGAGTCAAGAGCAGGTTTACTAGAGTCTCGCGGATCGGTATGGAGACGTCTGTATTTATCCTCGAGAGGCTGCAGAACCTTTAGGAAAATTTCATATTCTTGAAATTCTTGTCGTGCGAATCTGTTGATCCAAGTACTAAATTTCTGTTATTCTGTTCTCTCCTAGATGGTGAGGACACGAGCGACTGGTCAGGATGGACGACTACTAGTACCACCAGCTGTGGCCACTAGAGGCTGAGGACGCGGTCGAAGCCGTGGTAGGGGCAGAGGTGTGGCCTGCACCGTAGCTGGGGCAGTACCTGTAGATCCACCAACCGCCCCAGTTCAGGATCAGGTCCCAGTTGTGGACACTCCAGCAGTACCAGCTCAGGCATCAGCTGTGCCCATCGTGATTCTGGGTCTTCAGGAGAGCTTGGCCCAGATCTTGACAGTATGTACGAGTCTTGCTCAGGCGGTCGCGGTTTCTACTGCTGCAACCACTTCTCAGTAGGGGGAGGCTCTCAGACTCCCGCCGCCCACACACTCGATCAGGTGGTTCAGGGATTGCAGACACCAGAGGCACCACTAGCCCAGCCGGTGGCACACTACTAGAAATAGGGCCCGTGGTAACAAAAATTTATGCAACGGTAACAGAACCGTTGCCATACACTATATATAGCAACGGTTTTTACCGTTGCCAAAAGGGCTGGAGGATTTCGCTACTCTTTAATAATCAACCCGTTGCCATAGATCTTACTGTAGCAACGGTTGTTACAAACGTTGCAATATTTGTATCTATTGGCACGGTGTTGGGGAAAAATTATCTATGGGGACGGTTATGGGTTCCCTCCTTATTTTCCCTCTTCTAATTTGCCAAACCCGACAAAAATCTTTTCCTTAATATTTTTTACTCTTATTTCTTATTTGAAAATATTAAACATCAGCTTTTTCATTCCCTAACAACTTGTACGCTATCAGACCCTAATTAAACCTACTTTCTCTCTCCCTAACCCACGCTAATTATTTCCCAATTTCATCTCCCAATTACATCTCCTCCCAATTTCACTCCCAATTTCAGTCCCAATTTCTCTCTCTCTCTCTCTCTCTCTCTCTTATCCAAATTTGTAACATAAACACTGCAATGAGGGTTCTTAGCCATGGGTAGAATTTAGCTTTGTAAAATTAAATACCCAATAGATTCACAAAGTAGCAGAATCGTGGGGTCTCAAAATCAGTCAGAAATCAATAGTTGAGATTTTGCAAAGTGTATTTGCAGAGACAAAAAGGTTGAGATCTCTTTCTACCATCAGCGTAAGTTTCCCTATTTTAGGCTAGTTTCAGATTTTTAATTTTGTTTGTGATTTTTGTTTGCATGCACACAAATTGGTGGTCTTACTTTTTTATTTTAATTTTATATGCATTTTCTTTATGAGAGTCTTTGATTTATTCAGTAACTACAATTAGAAGCGAATTTTCTGTTGGCAGATTCTCCGGAAAAGATCGATTCCTTGAGCGTGTTCACACAATTAGTTTCTCAGTTAGCTTCAATCGCGAGAAATTATTTTCCCAAAAGGCACACTATGAGAAATCGCTAGCTGAAGAAGTTGTAAGTTCTTATATTCTTATTTGGATATATTGGTTTTCTTTATTGTTTAGTCTTTTGGGTATCAGTGGTGTATATGTTGCTTTAGATTTATGATTTGAACCGAAATTGGTATGCTAGGCTTGGAATCGTTTGTTCTTTCAAAACAAAAAGGAATCATTTTTTTTGGCAATCCACTAGGCAAGTGCCTAGGGCTAGTTTTTATATATATCTAAATAAAACAAAAACAAAACAATGTGATGAAGAGTCATACCAACTGTAAAGACATAGGTCCTATTACCTAAATTGAGCAGGTTATACTCAATTAAGGTAGTACAATTTGAATTAAGTAATACTTTGTAAAGAAGTCTAGGAATGTATAGAAGTTCATGAATAAAAACTAGCCCTAATAATTTCATGATAAGTAGATACTCAATTGTCCAGAATTGTGGTCGTCTTTGCCTAGTGAGTTGATCATTTTGCTCCATGTCTGCCCAGCAATATCCTGTCCAGCTCAATAACCTTCGATCATCAATCAGTAAATAACCTGCAATGTGATAGCACACAGCCAACTCCCTTGCACCTGCTATTTTCCTCTGTTGCACCAGTTCTGTACATCGTTTAATGTTGCGTTTTTCTTGACAAAACATATGCTTTCCAGCAGCACCTTGATGATATGGTACTGCCTCCTCAACCCATCTAATAGTCTCATTCTTAATTTCCAAAGGTGCATGTCTGCCATAACGTGATACATGACATATCTGGGAAGCCTTCTATTATAATTGCCTATTTGAATGTCCCTACCTTGTAACTCTAGAGTATAGCTACTGTTGTGTATTTTAGGACCTAGGACATATCTATGAATGATGGAAAAATTCCACCTCCAGCTCCTGTCAATAATCTGTACTGTCCTCCAGCTTCTCTCTTCTATGCTTGTGCCTATCTTTGATTTCCTCCCAGTGGAACGAGTACATAGTACTGATACCACCAACTGGGAGTTCCTCAAAGGATAGGGCATAGGTACAGTATCGTCTCCTGCAAAAAAGTAAACGACGTCAGAATAAAACTTGATCACGATGTTCTCTTCCATTTGGATATGATCATAGTGATCTCTTGTGTGATCTTCTTAAGAATCCAATTCTGTTGTGCTAATGTTTTCCTGGCTCCCTATATATGATGTTTGTTTCACATCATAGACATGTATGGTTAATTTCCATAACTGTATCATCCACTTGAATTCCTTTTTTACTAATTTCAGAAAATCTGGAAAATCCAGTGTCAACAGAATGTGCACAAACGTGATGCTGTCATGTTTGCAATTTAAATCTTGAGATATATTATTTGATCTCTAGCCTTGTGTTGTTATATTATTTGTGTTGCACTATTTTTGGGATGAAATGTGACACCACAGTCCCAATTCTTGATGCCAAAACGGGGTTAAAGGGTTTCATTATTTGCTGCTTTTAACTTAATTATTGCAAAATATTGCATCTCCTCTTCTCTTTCTTCTTCTTCTTCTTCTTCTTCTTCTTCTTCTTCTTCTTCTTCTTCTTCTTCTTCTTCTTCGTTGACAAATTGTTGATGTCATTCTCTTTCTTTATCATCATCATCATCATCATCATCATCTTCTTCTTCTTCTTCTTCTTCTTCTTCTTCTTCTTCTTTCACAGTTGACACATTGTTGCTGTCGTTCTCTTTTATTTCTGGATTGAATATTAATAATAATTGGGACACATCAGTAAATGAAGCTTAAATATCAAAAACTATTAAAAAACAGTGAAAACAACCTGAACAGAACTTCCTTAGATGAACTTCTGTTTGTTATTTTTGAAGCTAAAAGAGAGAAGAAATGGAAAAAAATGTTAAGCTTAATGGAGTGATTAGCTTTTGACCACCGCTTGTCCTATGGGAAGATGATAAAAATGTATCTCTTTAATCTTAATTGTTGGTATCTTTCTTTTTATTTTTTTTCTGGAACTTATAGTGTGTTCATGTTTTAGTATCTATTTGGCAATGAGATCTTAATTTTCTGATATTTGATTAGTTATCTGGGGTGCTTCTTGTTGATTTCAGACATTGTTCTTTTTCAAGCTGTCATTTTATGCACTTTAGCTTTATTGGAAATCATGCAACATGTTATTTTCTTTATTCATTTGAGTGCTGAAATTATTTCTTAAGAAATTCCTTTCTGGCCATGTACTACTTGAAACATGAAGGATATCAATGTGCTTATGTGAACTAGTTGACAAATTCAAGTAGTAGAAACCATATCTAGTACTTGATTTTCTCTCTAAACATGTAATTAGACCAACATCTGCTTGGAAATGCCACCAGTCCAACATGCCATGTACAGACTTTAAAAGAAGACAACAGGCCACCCACATCCAATGCATTGCAGACAGTTCTTGTGGCCACTCATAAGCAGCAACAAAGAAAATGAGGTACCAATCTTAATTTCTTTGATGTTACAAGCCACAAAGTTACACCCATATCTCATATTCTCCACCTCTGATTCTCTTCTGTTATTCACAATACACAGAGGCAGACTACTCACGCATCTTTTTTGATTTCATGCTTTCCAATCTTCAACATGACTTTCTTTGATGATATTGTTAGCCAAGTTGAATGTAGATGTCTTGTTTGTGTCAAGTGGTGTCACTTTATTTTATTTATCCTCATATTTGTTTCTTCCTTTTAATTAAATATACATATTTAGTATAATTTTCTGATTAAGTGGTGTCATGTGACACCACTTAGTCTAACTTCTGCTAGTCTACTATGCATAACAGAGCGAGAAAGCAACTTATCTCCATTTGATTGGTTCTACTCCTTCTAAGTGTACTTCTTGATCAACTAAACTAGAATGGGTAACGATAGAAAGTTAATGTATTTTCATGTAAATTCAACATTTCGACACTTATCTTGCATTTGGTAGTTCATAATTGGTCTTTTAGGTAGTTATTAAAATTTTCACTACACGTGCGATGTCCAACGTCCTATATAGAAATGGAGAGGTAACTAGTTTAGATTTCACTTCATTCGGCTGTTCAAGAATATGCTGCACATTCTGATCAATAATCTTTTTTATTTTGTTTTGTTTAAATTTGTATGTTTCTTTAGGTCGTAGGCGGGGCCTCTGATTATTTTGCATTAGAGGAGGATGCCATAGGAGTTGAACATTTGGTTTTGAAATTGAAAGATGTTTAAAAGAAAGTAATAAATTCTGAATTTATATAATTTTTTTGAACATGTTACTAACGGAGTACAAGATACACAAGGAAACAGTGAGCTACCCATCTGTTGAGTATACCTAGCTTGCAACGGTGCCTAGATTGAGCTGTTTTTTCATTATAAAAAAATTATTATTTTCCTTATTCTTTGGTCTGGAGGAAGTTATATATAATTTTGAATGGCAGTGCTCTGTGTCTGTGTGTTCGTGAACACTGCCATAGGACGTTAGTTAACCAGTAAACTATATTTTTCTTGGCTAAGGTACGAGGCTTCTTTAGATCTTTGTGGACTGCCCCTTTGAGTGTAACAAGCTTTTACTACTGTGTCCTGAATTCTCTGCTTTTTAATGTTCGCCTCCAACAAAATCTATGAAAAGATAACACTTTTTGGTCACCATGGACCACCAACAATGTTACTGATGAACTTTCAATATCTCTCCTCACATTAAATTAAGCATTCTTACTTCCCTTGCTTCATTATTAACTATATATTTGGTTTTGCCTCACCGGAATATAATTAATCGGGAAGATTAATTTGTCCTTTAATTGTTTTTTTTCCTTTCTGTTGAAGCTTATTTTTATCAAGGACCAAGACTTTTAACGAGCTGATGTTCCAAATTGCAACCAAGAATCCGTTGATAAATTTGGAAAAATGTCCTTATAGGGAACATATTATCAACGTGTTTATGTTAAACATCTCTATATACAGTAAAATGCAAGAATTCTTGGAGTAAATGCAGTACTCATAATAATGTCAAAAAAAATTTGTGTGTATGGTATTCTTAAATCCTTTACCTTTCATTTGTATTTGAATTGTTAACTAGCATTTAAAGAGATAATGATTTTATTTATCCTCTTTTGTAGGTGGAGAAAATGAAGAAAGGGAAGATCAAAGGAATGAAGATCCTGCTTAAGAAGATTTTTTGATTGTTGCTGAAACTCTAAATGTTCTAGGAATCGTTTGTTATCAAACATTTTGAAACTTCTTTAACTTTTGGATTGTAAAACTTATATACTTGGTTCTTAACTTTTGGATTATTAAACTTATGTAGATGGGTTCTAATATTTTGCCTTTACGGATATTACAACTTGGATTGTAAATGTTTATGATTAGTTTTATTTTATGATTTATATAAGTTATTGTGTATTATAATTTAATGTAAATATTTATTTACTATCAGGGAGTATATTGTTGGTTCAATTAAACCATTACAATAGATTACCTCAACCGTTGCTATAGGTAACAAAAACTGTCTCAATTAACCATGTAAACTGTTGCAATATGACAGGTAACCGTTGTAGTAGGTAAACTAAACCATTGCCAAAGGTACTATAAACCGTTGCAATAGATAATGCACACCGTTGCATTAGAACCTATTAGATTGTTGTTAGTGTAAACAACCCGTAGCAATAGTAATTAAACCGCTGCAAAAGCGGCAATAAATTATCGTAATATCCTAACTTAACCGTTGCAATAGAAAAAATAACCGTTACACAAACATATATTGCAACGCCTTTGAACCGTTCTAGTTGATTGAAAATACTCGTCGCAGTAGAATGATAAATAACCGTTGCAATAGATTGCTATAAGGAAACGGTTTTCCAAACCGTTGCAGTAAGCGTTACAGTAGAGCTACTGCAACGCGACCTAGTTAGACGGACGCAAAAACATTGCAATAGCTCTATGGCAACGGTGTTCTTATGTACCGCAACGGTTTTCTATGCGTTGCCATAGGTTTATTTTCCAGTACTGGCAGCTGCTCAGGGTTACGTAGCTCCAGTTATGCCAGAGGACGAGCAGCGTAGATTGGAGAGGTTTGGTAGACTCCAGCCTCCTACTTTCAGTGGTGCAGAGGGCGAGGATGCCCGAGGTTTCTTGGATAGATGTCAGAGGATTCTTCACACCGCGGGTATTTTGGAGACCAGTGGGGTGGCGTTCACGACTTTTCAGTTTACGGGAGCTGCCTTCACTTGGTGGGAGGCAGATCACCGTGATACCTCCGGAGCATCGAAACGTGAAATACCGGATCAATTTCTGCTAAGCTGCGAGGTAAGGCAAGCTCATAAGCAACCTTCCAAACACGCCGCAATATCTCAAAAGGGCCAATAAACCTCGGACTCAATTTCCCTTTCTTCCCAAATCTCATAATGCCCTTCATAGGGGAAACCCGCAGCAAAACCTGCTCTCCAACCATATAGGAAACATCACGAACCTTCTGGTCCGCATAACTCTTCTGTCTGGACTGGGCTGTATGGAGTCTATCCTGAATCACCTTGACCTTCTCCAAACATCCTGTACTAAGTACGTGCCCAATAATCTAGCCTCGCCCGACTCGAACCAACCCACCGGGGACCTACACCGCCTACCATACAAGGCCTTATACGGTGCCATCTGAATGCTGGACTGATAGATATTGTTGTAAGCAAACTCAGTCAGTGGCACTGATCCCAAGAACCTCCAAACTCCATCACACACACACAGATCATATCCTCAAGAATCTGAATAGTGCGCTCGGACTGTCCGTCCGTCTGGGGGTGAAATGCTGTGCTCAACTCTACCCGAGTACCCGAACTCATGCTGTACGGCCCTCCAAAACCGTGATGTGAATTGCGTACCTCTATCTGAAATAATAAAAAATGGAATATCGTGCAAACGGACAATCTCCCAGATAAAGATCTTCGCTAACCGCTCTGAAGAATAGGTGGTACACATAGGAATGAAATGCGCGGACTTGGTCAACCGATCCACAATCACCCAAATGGCATCGAACTTCTTCAAAGTCCGCGGGAGCCCGACTACGAAGTCCATGGTAATCCGCTCTCACTTCCACTCCGGAATCTCTATCTGCTGAAGCAATCCACCCGGTCTCTGGTGCTCATACTTTACCTGCTGACAATTGAGGGACCGAGCTACAAATCCAACTATATCTTTTTTCATCCGCCTACACCAATAGTACTGCCTCAAATCCTGATACATCTTCGCGACACCTGGATGGATGGAATACCGCGAGCTATGGGCCTCCTCTAGAATCAAGTCCCGAAGCCCCATCAACATTGGGTACACAAACCCGACCCTGCATCCTCAATACCCCGTCATCACCAATGGTCACATCTCTGGCATCACCTCGCAGAACCTTGTCCTTGAGGACAAGCAAATAAGGGTCATCAAACTTGCGCCCCCGGATATGATCAAACAAGGAAGACCGAGAAACCACACAAGCAAGGACCCGACTGGGCTCCGAATGATCCAATCTCACAAACTGGATGGCTAAGGCCTGAACATCCATCACCATGGGCCTCTCTGCTGCTGGTAAATAAGCCAAACTCCCCAAACTCTCCACCCGGCGACTCAAAGCATCGGCCACCACATTGGCCTTGCTCGGGTGATACAAAATAGTGATATCTTAGTCCTTCAGCAGCTCTAACCACCTCCTCTGGCGCAAATTAAGGTCCTTTTGCTTGAACAAACGCTGTAAATTCCGATGATCAGTATAAATCTCACCAGGCACACTGTACAAATAATGACGCCAGATCTTCAAGGCGTGAACAATAGCAGCTAACTCAAGATCATGGACAGGATAGTTCTTCTCATGCACTTTCAACTGTCTAGACGCGTAGGCAATCGCCCTATCATCCTACATCAATAACGCTCCAAGGCCAATCCTCGAGGCATCACAACAGACAGTATAAGACCCCGAACCGGTAGGCAGTATCAAAACTGGAGCTGTGGTCAAAGCTGTCTTGAGCTTCTGAAAGCTCTTCTCACACTCTTCCATCCATTGGAACAGAGCACCCTTCTGGGTCAGCCTGGTTATAGGTGCTGCAATAGATGAAAATCCCTGAACAAATCGACGGTAATAACCCGCCAAGCCAAGAAAACTGCGGATCTCTGTAGCTGAGGATGGTCTTGGCCAACTCTGCACTGCTTCCACTTTCTTCGAATCCACATTTATCCCCACACTAGATATCACGTGACCTAAGAATGCCACGAAATCCAACCAAAACTCACATTTCGAGAACTTAGCATATAACTTCTTCTCCCTCAAAGTCTGAAGTACTGTCCTCAGGTGATGCTCATGATCTTCCCGACTCCAGGAATATACCAGAATGTCATCAATAAAGATAATGACGAATGAGTCAAGATATGGCTGAAATACACTGTGCATGAAATGCATGAAGGCTATTGGGGCATTGGTTAGCCCAAATGACATAACAAGGAACTCGTAATGACCATACCGAGTCTTGAAGGCATCTTTGGGATATCTGGTTCCCGAATCTTCAACTAATGATAGCCTGAACGCAAGTCAATCTTAGAAAACACACGAGCACCCTGTAACTGATCAAACCGGTCATCAATACGAGGCAAAGGATAACAGTTCTTCACTGTAACCTTGTTCAACTGGCGATAATCAATACACATACGCATAGAACCATCCTTCTTCTTCACAAACAAGATAGGAGCACCCCAAGGTGATACACTAGGCTAAATAAAACCCTTATCAAGCAATTCCTGTAACTGCTCCTTTAACTCCTTCAACTCAGGAGGGGCCATACGTTACGGAGGAATAGAAATGGGCTGAGTGCCCGGCAATAGATCAATGCCAAAATCAATATCTCTATCAGGCGGCATGTCCTGAAGATCAGCTGGAAACACATCAGAGAAATCCCGTACTACTGGGACTGAATCAACTGTAGGGTTATCAATACTGACATCTCTCACATAAGCTAGATATGCGTCACACCCTTTCTCAACCATACGTTGAGCCTTAAGGAATGAAATAACTCTACTGGATGTATGATCTAAGGTACCCCTCCACTCTACTCGCGGTACACTTGGCATAGCCAGCATCACGGTTTTTGCATGACAATCAAGAATAGCATAATGGGGCGACAATCAGTCCATGCCCAGAATAACATTAAAGTCTACCATGCTGAGTAATAACAAATCGGCTCTGGTCTCAAAACCACTAAGAGCAATCAAACACGACTGATAAACGCGATCCACAATAAGAGAATCTCCAAAAGAGTAGAAACATAAACAGGAGAACTCAAAGAATCCCCAGATACGCTCAAATGCGGGGAAAAATAAAAGGACACATAAGAATAAGTGGAGCCTGGATCGAATAAAATCGATGCATCTCTATGACAGATCAGAATAGTACCTGTGATGAAAGAATTGGAGGCCACAGCCTTAGTACGGGCAGGAAGAGCATAGTATCTGGCCTGGCCTCCCCATTTAGGGCGACCTCTACCTCCCTGACCTCCATCTCTAGCTGGCTGAGCAGGTGGGGCAGCAACTGGTGCTGTGATCATAGCTTGACTCTACGGGGCGCGCTGTGGCTGAGAAGTCTGTGGAGGTGCACCCCTCCAAGTCTAGGGCAATCCCTCACCACATGGTGTGTGTCACCACACTCAAAACAAGCTCTAGGAGGACGTGGTGGTTGTGACTGGCTCGGGCCAGGTCTGTTGGACTGACCACTGGAAGCACCTCGTGCAGGAGGCGCACTAGACACTGGTGGTGCATAATAAGGCTCCTGGGGTCTAGGAGGAGCTGGAATACCACTGGCTGCTGGAAGAGCTAAATGAACGGGGTGAGTCATATAACCCCTACCATGACGAGCTGAAGCTGGGACACGGGTACCAGAATAATGGCCCGACTCTCGAGACCTCTTGGCCTCCCTCTCCTCTCTGTCTCGAGCATGCGTACCCTCTACTCTCCTAGAAATGCTCACCACCTGCTGATAAGAAAAATCCATCTCCAACTCTCGAGTCATACTAGACCTGATATTGGGAATGAGCCCCTCAATAAACCGGCGAACCTTCTCGCGAACAGTAGAAACCAAAGCTGGCGCATGTCTAGCCAAACTAGTGAAACGAACAGCATACTCCGAGAGAGTCATAGTACCATGGCACAAATGCTCAAACTCTGCGTGCCACGCGTCCCTGAGTCTCTGGGGAACATATACTCTCGTGAACATATCTGAAAACTGATTCCAAGTCAGGGAAGCTACCTCATCCGGACTGTCTAACACATA